GGCGGCTGGATCATGCTGTGGGCATGTGCTGGAATGGGGAAGCTGGCCAGAGCTGATAGGAAGATGGATGGAGCTAAATGCAAGACAAACCTGGAAGAAAACCTTCTCAACTTACAACTTGGGCTGCGGTTCATTGTCCAGTCAAAGGCCACACCTGCAGCATCCTATCGAGAATCTTTGCCTGAATGTCAAAAGTCAATATTCACAGATACAAAATCAAACTGTGCTTGAGTATTTTTGTCCAAAAAAAGTATTTAAAAAATCTGCCTCCAAATGAGTGAAGCTGTTAGTGGTAAAACCCGGAACACTTCAACACTTCAAGTTGAAATAATACAGAGAACTGGATCATTTGACAGAAAAAAATCGAAATCATTCATCAATTCAGTTTCATGTTAAGTCAAGCAAAACCTTTTTGTTGTGAAATGTCATTTAAATACATCTGCACAGCAATGTTTATTCGTTTATTTTTTTTTTTAATTTAGGCTGAGGCAACCGATTAAAGAGTTGCACGTGGCAAACTGAGCGGCATTCATGCAGACAAGATGTTTCACTTGTCATAATTTACAAATCTTCATTTTTTTAATTATTTCCTAATTATAGTAAAAAAACCAAAAAAAAAAAAAAAAAAAAAAAAACTTATTTTGTTGAATTTCCCTCTCTCACACTTCCCCGGTGCCCTGCGGAACGCCAAATGAGGCAAAACCGAAACAGGAACAACATCAAACCTAGAGGAGGAGGCTGCACATAAAGAGACGTGCCTGAAAAGGAGCGGGAGCCGCCGCGGCGCTCCGGTCCTCAGAGGAAGCGCCGCTGCAGCGCCTGCATTCAGGGGGAGTGTCTGTTTGCACAGGTCTGTGTCAGTTAACACTAATCTGCCTGATCTCCACCTCAAAGTCACTCGCTCCTCCACATGCAAATAAACATATTCAGGCTTCTTTCAGACCAAAGCCACTATGAAACACTTGTTTGATCAGCAGAAGGGCCTGTGAGCCAGTTCATTATGCATTTTAAAAAAGAAAGGGGGAGAGCATATTGTTGCCAGGGTTTTATGTAATTACTCTCACCTTCAGCATGTGACTGGGAACAATTACCTCCAGATCAGACTGATGTGTTGGAGACTTTGAGCTATTATTAGTGCGTCTTGTTGCAGTCTGTGCACATATACTGCGCTCTTTGCCCCAGATTCAACTCTCTGTGTGCCTATTCAAAGCGCACCTCACGCACAAAACTCAGTATTTATGGACCAGAACATCTTACGCTTCTTTCATCATTTCACAAAAAACAAAACAAAACAAAAAAACAAAACAAAAAAAAAAAAAAAAAAAAAAAACACGCCCTTTGATTCAATCGGGGTCCGGCGCATTTGAGCAAAACCCGCCCGTCCTGGAAGACCAGCCGCATTCATTTGCGCGTGCGTCGAGCGTGTACGCACGCGTCACGTTTGAGCGTGTGACATCGAAAGGTTGAGCGTTGCCTTCAAACCAGACAAGTCTCAACTGGCAAACAGGTGCTGCAGGAGGAGCAGCTGAGGATGAGGACACGGGGCGTCGCCTCCGAGTCGGATCAAAGTCAGCTCGTCTCGGTTGCCCGGTCACGCCCCTCCCCCCTCCCCCTCAGCAGCTTGAGTTATGCCACTGTATTGGAGGCCTTCATGACGGCTCGCGAAAACAAAAACAAACTGAAACAAACGAAAGGTTAAAAGCCACGCCCCAAAATCTGTGGAACAATGGCCGCCAGTGGCACTTGGTCTACCTTGAAAGAAACTTTGGAGGACAGGTTATATGCAAAAAGGACAATACGCTTAAGCAGAATGAAAACAGAGAACCAGGAACAAGTGAGAATCACACTGAGCTTTGCAGCCGAAACTTGGATCTCAGAATGACGCGTTTTCCAATTAATTATAGTCAAATGAAAAGTTAGAATGGATTTCCTAAACGATGTGTTCACTAACACCTCAAACAATACAAACTAATAAACAAGCTTGTACTGCTTGTTAGCATATGAATGAATTTTGCACTTTCAGCACTTTCACTAACTGAGGGTGCATAGCACTGTTACTTGTGTGAAAGTAAGATTCAAACACTGCAGTTAGGGCTCATGGTTGTTTTATACAAGGCAGCCATGTTGGATTTTGAGGTCATTTTTAGGGATCTATTTGTACATTTTACAAGTTACATCAAAATGCATAAAAACGTAACTTCTTATTTAACAATGCGTGCATATTAAACAGATTTTCCTCAACCATTGGAGCAGTATGAATGGCTAAGAATATCTTTCATATTTCTGTCATGCCGGCGTAGATTGAAAGTGTCAGGGTTGAAATGTCTTTCAAAATGATTACATTTTTATAAAATGGACATGTGTTGGCCTGACATATAAGCAAACTGTATCATTTGAACTGTAAAGCATTTTTTTAATATCATATAAAGTCTCTCAAGAAAGTAATATTTGAAAAAGAAAACTGGGCTAGCGCTGGTAAATCATTTTATCGTAAAACAAAAATGGCAAAAGGTAAACTGCTGTCCATCTGTGTGATTTATTGAATCATTCATTTATTCTGCCGTCATACATTGAAGCTAATTTAAGTATTGCTGGTGCCTTCGTGGGATCCGGTTTCACCTTTCATTTACACTGCACGCGTTTCACAGTTGTTCAGCACTTTTTCACTGTGGTTGCTCATGATCATAAAAACCTGATCCTCCTCCCCAACTCTACCGAGTTCGTCTGGAAGTGTGCCCTCGAATGAGAGCCTGCTCAGGGCCTTTTAAAATATCGGGCTGGCTCTGACATGTACTGTCGTGGTACTTGTCATAAAAAGAAAAAAAAAGTGTGAACCACAGGATTCAAGTCATTTCTTATTGATTATGTCTCTGTAGGACTTTCCCTCAAGAAATGACTCTGCAAACGCATGTCGCAGGTGAAAAGCCGAAAACATCGTCTTCACTTATCAAATAATGATTGGCAACACCGGATAGAAGCAAATCTCTTTCATTCAGAATATTTCGATTCACACACCAGCTGCTATTTTCTCCTCAGTTTGGTAAAAAGAGAGAGAGAGGTGAGTTGACTTGCTGCAGATGACTGGATACATGGGTGCATGATTTATATCCAGGTCGAACTGGGATTCCCCTCATTCCTCCTAAGGTAACATCTTCTTTGATACGTCCCTGGAAGAAGCCCAGCGTGAACCTTTCTCTTTTTTTCTATTCACACCAACCCACTGAAAAACACTCCATTCTCGATAACGTCGGGTTAGCGAATCAAACATTTCTGCTTCTAAAAGCCCAAGCACACCTGACAATGAATTAAGCTGAAAAAAAGTAGTGTTATGCCCTTGCTCTGAGGAGACTTTCTTTTTTTTTTCTCCCTCCCCCCTTTGAAGAGAGGACAAGAAGAGGAGTGAAGTCCTGGAGAGGGGTGGTAACTGTCATTTAAATTTACAGCCTCGCAGACACCTCGGGGGCTCTTATCCAGGTGGCCTCTGTTGAGGCTCCCAGAAACGCTCACACCTTTTCTGCTACTCAGAGTATCAATAGACACTGGCTGACTTTGATTCAGCCACATAGAGGTTGTGAGTCATGTGCTTTTTTTTTTTTTTTGACTGTTGAAACTGGTCGGGTTGACGCTGGAACTTGAATGCCCTCGGGGACGGAGGAACACTACTCCTCAGAAAGGTTAATAAACCAGAGAGAACCCTCTTTTTTTTTTCCCTCCCCTTCGTCTTCAAGAAAAGGACGTTCGAACATCAAAAGCCCAAAACGAGTCCTGCCTACTGACAAATGCTCAGTATCTCTGCATACTTTTAAACCTCGTGTAAAAAAAAAAAAGCTGACATATGATTGAAGCCTCTGGGCTTTCCCGACGGGACCACAGAGACAATTGCCGTTATGTGCGTTCAAGACCAGACCTGTGGCCCCTCAGCGTGTGATTCAGTGTGATGATGCCGTCATCGATGTATTCAGTTTATTTAATCCCCTGTGGATAATTAAAACAGCTGCTTTAAAATGATGCTCGACTCCTTTTAAAACGGCCTGCTGATGAGAAACGACACATTCAGCTTGAAAGTGCTCCTCCAACTTCAGACACTCTAATCCGGTCTTGAGTGACATCAGGAAAAATTGTTTAATCGCCTTACAGTGGCGGATGAGTCGATAAAAGCGAAACAAAGGTGGGAGAGAAAGAAATAAAGACTTAAATTAAAACTGCGTTTTGTTCTGATACAGTAAGAAACTAGAAAAAAAACCTAAATGAGTACCATAAATGTCACAATGAATGAAAAATGTGATCCAATGGGAAACACCTTGGAAACAGTCATCCATGTTGTTAAGAATTAATAAATAATTTTCAACATCTAAAGGAATGCCTCTTATCCTGACAGGAGAATGATCTAGATTTCTTTGGAATGAGGGCTTTGCTTTTTGTTTTGCCATTATGTTATGTGATATTAAAATATGATGGAGAAATTAAACCATATGTCCCACACAGAGAACAAAGTAAGGCCACACTCAGCCTTTACATCTTTTTCTTTTTTTTTTCTTTGGATAAGGCCAACATTGAATGAGTACAAAAGTACAGCAGTTTCCTTTTCAAACACTTGATAACAAGAATGGAGATGCCACTCTTTGCCTGCAGCTCATTTCAGAACAATGTCCTATTTTCTACAAAGCAAGGCGAGATATTCAGCTCAGAACTGCCATTTCTGTTTCAGAGAGCCAGTGGACTTTTGGAACATTTACCAGGTAGCATATTGGAGGCCCTCATTAGCTATGCTTATTGTTATTATTTTATATATATATATATATATATATATATATATATATATATATATTATATATATATATATATATATATATATATATATATAAAGAGATAAAAAATAATCTTTTGAGCAAAGTATTGAAATATTTTGAGTGGCAGAAGCATAACTCCAATTAAAGCAGTGAACTTTTAAAGGCCACCTGATCAACAGACACTCAGAGATTCCAGCTTTGCCAAAACAATTAAAACTAGTGCTTTTTTTTTATTATTAATTTTTCTATAAAATATCAGCTTTTTTTTTTAGAAACATATACAAACACTCCTCTGCACTATAAACAGCAAAGAAATGAAAAAAAGGAACAACAGCAACAAAAAAAAAAACAACAACAACAGAAGAACACAGTGGACAAATATCGTTTCAATATCGAGTGCTTGATTAATTTATGGCGAGGATTCGCCTCACAATGGGTGTTTCGTAAGGATCTCGAGCGCCTTTCAACAGCTGCTTTCAGTCCAGTTCAAACATATATGAAAACAGGCCGAATTTCCATGAAAAAAGGCTGGAAACAGCACTCATCTCTCTGACCATTCTCTCCATTGTGTACTGGGGCCCTAACATTGTCTGTAATCTGTCACCAACAGTACAAGTGTCGTCTAGCCGGAAAGGAAAACATCTATTGCACATTATTCAAGTAACGCCGTGGCACATCCAAATGGTTTACTCCACTCTTTTTGTCCAGGAAATAATAGGATTTTTTTTTCTTTTTTTGCTATTCCAAGTTCCCCAAAAGAACAAGCGAGCGAAGGAGTAGCAGATTTTTTTCTTTTTTTTCAAACAAAGGCTGCTCTTGTTGGGTGACACTGCAGAAAATACAAAAAAACCAAAAAACAAAAACAAAGAACATGTATGTTCTCAATGCGTGAGGCATAAATAAAACATGAACCTCTGTGCTTTTAATGGCTCTCTGGATCAGTCTTGCTTTTAGGGTTTTAAAAGTCTGTTTGGGCTCGCTTCACACACATGTCGGGGGCTGCCGCGTCGGCTCGTACTTGGTGCTCGGCCCTTTGAGGGACGGGTGAGGCTTGATGTAAGGCCTGCTGCTGGTGAAGACGCTGGCCGTCTTCCCCCTCGTCCTCTTCTTCAGCTTCCTGCTGAACACGTTCTGCCACGACTGCAGCGTCTTTGAGGTCCAGATCCACATGCCGCTCGTGATGCCCACCACCAGCAGCATGAAGACCTTCACCATGAAAATCTCCACAGCCGGGATCGAGGCCTTCATGACGCACTCGTCCGACTCCGGCCCGCTCCCGTCCGCGCACTTCTCCTTCTCCGCGAGGATGCGCCAGTAGTCCATGTTGAGTCTCTCGTAGAAGTAGCAGGCGATGACGCAGGTGGCGGGGACGGTGTAGAGGACGGAGAAGACGCCGATGCGCACCATCAGCTTCTCGAGCTTATCCGTGTTCTCCCCCTCGGTTTTCATGATCTTCCGGATGTGGAAGAGGGCCACGAAGCCAGAGAGCAGAAACGACGTGCCGATGATGAGGTAGCAGGAAAGAGGAATGAGCACAAAGCCTGTGAGAGCTTTGACGTCCATGCTGCCCACGTAGCAAACGCCCGTCAGCTCGTCGCCGGCCACCTTCCTCATCACCAGTATTATGATGGTCTTTATAGCCGGGATGGCCCACGCTGCCAGGTGGAAGTAGCTGCTGTTGGCCTCGATGGCCTCGTGGCCCCACTTCTTCCCGGCAGCGAGGAACCAAGTTAGAGTCAGGATAACCCACCAGAGGGAACTGGCCATGCCGAAATAATACAGGATGAGGAACACTATGGTGCAGCCGGTGCTCTCCAGGCCCTCCTGAATTATGTACTGCACGCCATTGTCTCTGTCACAGGCTATTCTGTCGGCTCCCACAAAAAGCCGAATGAGGTAGCCCACGGAGTAAACACAGTAGGACATGGAGAGGAAGATGATCGGCCTCTCGGGGTACTTGAACCTTTGCGGGTCGATGAGGAAAGTAAGCACGGTGAAGGCACTGGAGACAAAACAGAGGATGGACCAGATGGCCATCCACACCAGGGAGAACTGCTTGTCTCCCTGACTCCAGTAAACATCCACTTTTGGGTAGCACTTTGGGGCACAAGACTGGCTTTTCTCCACAAAGTGGAACTTGCCGGGATTGCACGACTGCTTGCTACCGCTGTCCTTAAGGTGCAGGTCCTGCCCACTCAGAGGCTGCTGCGGCCTAAAATCTGGAGGTTGAGTGTGGGACACCCTGGGGGGCTCATCCGATCCGTTGTTGGGCGCCTCCATGCACAGGTTGTTTGGGTCATTTTTGGTTGGAAGGCGCGAGCAGTCCAAAGAGTCGGGCCAGGGGAAATTAAACCTCTCCAGGATCGGGGAGCACTTCAGCTTGACCTGCTCGCACATGACCCGGCACGCCGGGATGGGGTTGGACACCTGCTCCGTGCACATGGGAGCGTGAAGCGAACAAAGGAAGAACTTAAGGTGACCGTGGCATCCGAACTGGATGAGCGTTGCAAACTCCTGCAGCTTCAGCGCAGCCTCCTTCTGATCATCATGACCCATGAGGTTTGGCATGCGAGTCATGTTGTAGCCAATGTCCTTGCACATAGGGATGTTGATGTGCTGGCATCTTCCCTCCCCTGACCAGTCAGAATCTATGGAGCTGATGGAGGAGCTGTCCCTGCTCCACAGCAGCAGCAACAGCAGAGGCACCGGGATCACAGCTGAACACATTCTCCCTTCTCAGCTTGAAGAAGAAAAACGCAGCCAACTGTTCAATGCAACCAGGAAAACACAAGTTTCTCGCTCTCTCTCTCTCAAAAAAAAAAAAAAAAAAAAGTCTGAACCGAAACAGAGCAGGTGCCGCGTAGCGAAACTTACTTAACTATCCACTGCAACATCCTCCTCTCCTCAGCTCAGAGTTGCAGAGTTGAATGAGAAGAGAAATCCCGCGATGGAGAGATGGTGTTTCCTGGCTGCGGGCGCGCTGTCAGGTCCATGCTCTCCCCCGAAAGAAAATGTTCACTTCTGGCGGCTGGAACTCGCCCCCCTCGTCACTTCTCTCCTGCGCCGTGCATGAAATGACCCCATGCACTGTTTCCCCCCACCCCACTTTAGTTTCTCCTCGGTTCGGTCCGCCTCCACGCTTCCTGACACTTTATCGGCATTTAGGTGATCCTCCGCGCCTGCTGCAGTGCGATTTCGGTCCGTGAGAAACAACTTCCATTTAAAAAAAAAGGAAGAAAAAAAAAAAGAGAGTGATAATGATAATAATAATGAAAGTAGTTCCAGTCCTTTGTGCGAAGCACTCTAAATGAAATAAGTGGACTAGAGAAAAAATCCTCCGGGCCGATGTTAAGTGTTTTGCAGGGTTCTGACGCTCCTCCTCCCCGGGGCCAGGCGCTCGGCGCGTTTTGGTGGCTGCTGCTCGACTGAGCTGGTTCGGAGTCTCCGTCCCGGTCTAACCTGCCAAAAGATCCTCCTTCAAAAGACAGCTGCTTTGCATAAGAAAGATGACACTGACACGCAGATTATTTTCAAATCGTGCGGAACAGCGTGCTCGGCGCAGCACTTTCCAAAGCGAACTTTTCCTGCTCGCTCCGTTTGTTTGTCCTCTGCGAGAAACTCAGTCGATGAAAGGATAAAAGAAGGGTGTTTTTTTGTTTTTCTTTTGATTCCGGGTTTTTTTTCTTCATGTTTGTTTCGCAGGATCCCAAAATGCTGCGCAGTGCGGATGCGCACAGGGTCGAAGGCGCGCCGACGTTCATGTTTGAGTGGAAACGGCCAGTTTTTAATAATCCACACACAGTGCCGGATGTAAGAGAATCCAGGTCCCTGGGATGGAGACATTTTGGGTCCCCAAACCAACAGTCTTCTTTTTCTTTCTTTATATAAATATATATACTGTGTAGTTTAAATGAAAAACAAACATATGCATTAAAGAAAAACAACGGCGCAGTTTCATATTGTATGAATAGAAAACAATTGCTGCAGTAAATATAAGTATGCACACCCTTGACACAATTGGCTTGCAAAAGTTCTCAAAATCGACAAGACATTTATTTTCCACAGTCCTCTTCAGATTGTGTTCTGACCTCCAAAAACTTTAATTATGACCTTATTAAATGGACTGAACCTATATAGTGCTTTTCCAGTCATTTTGACCACTCAAAGTGATTTACACTAGAGTCACATTCACCCATTCCCACTCACATTCATACACCGATACGCAGCCCGGTATGCAGTTAGGGGTTAAGTGCCTTGCCCAGAGGCACATCAACATGTGGCAGGAGGAAGCTGGAATCGAACCTACAACCTTCCGATTGCAAGACGACTACTCTGCCATACAGCCATTTTATTATTGACTTGTATTGGACTCAGTAAAAAAAAATGCTGTTTTATCTTCAACTTTCTAGAAGACACAAGAAAGTTTTGGGTCTAAACGGACTGGCAATTATCTTCATCCACCTTGGCAAGAAAAAACAAAAAAGTCAGCAAAAGGTTGAAGATGAAATAAAAAAAAAGTACGGTAACTCTGGAGAACGGTATTGCCATCACCATGTTTCACTCTGGGCATGATGTGTTGTTTTTATACCAAACACGCTTTTTGGAATTGCGACCCAACTGTTTAAGTTTGTTTAAATGCGGTTTCATAAGATTGCACCGCATTATCCTACATGATTTTGGGAGATTTTATCCAGGCCTGAATGTTTTCTTTGAAAGAAAAGACGTCAGTCTTCAGCCCTTCTCAGTGCAGACGTACACGGAATAAACACGATTCTTGTCACGCGTAGAAACAATAAGTGCTCATCGGAAATTCCTGCAGATCCTGTGATATTTCTGTGAGCCTCCCGAAAGCCTCCCTGACGAGTTTCCTTCTTGTGTTTTCATCAGTTTCGCAGCAATTAGAGAAACTAAAGATTCTCTGTAGTTGTTGTTAATGGTGTTTCTGAGAAGACTAAACACGAGATCAAAATGTGCTTAGAAAATTGTTGTGGATGAGTTTCCACATGTCTCCATGTAACTTGCTTTTGGGTTTTTTCTCTATGAGGAATTTATTTGTTTCTCAGTTTAACTGATTTTCCATAATCACTTTTTTTTAAATTAAAAAACAAAAGCCTTGGCAATTTGTCAGAAGTGTGTGGACTTTGGGGATCCATTATATCTAACACAAAATGTAAACACTGAAAAACATGAAAAAACAAAACTAATGATACAGTCTAATTCAAAAATAGTAACCAGAACAATGAAGATCAAAATATTTGTGAATACATGTAAGATAATACGAATGTACAAAGTTTGATCACATTTTAGATAAATAGGATAGCAAATAAAATAAAATACTTTTATTTTTTTTAGTAAGAGTAAGATCTTTTGGACAAACAAATCTTTTCCTGAAGGTCTTAGTTCTGAAAGGCCTCCAAGAAAAAAGCTAATCTAACAATTAGAGGTGGAGCATTAATGTCTTCAGCCATACAAAAATAAATCAAATATTCCAGGCTTTTGTGCGGCCACATAAAGCAAACACTGGAATATGTAAAAAAAGAAAATGAAGATGTGGACGAGCCCATAGCTTGTTACCAGATCCAGTATGACAGAGCTGAGGGTCACTATAGATAGTTGCATTTGTTTTTTTAAACAAAATCTCAAAAATACAACATTATTCCCGATGGGAAATCAAACGTTGTTGTAATTCACATTACCCAAGTTTCTTCAAACACTTATAGGTGGTGATGGCTGTGGGCAGGAAGGTTCTCCGGTAGCCGTCTGTATCACAGCGGGTGTTAAAAAAACCTCTGACAGTCTCATGAACAGGCTGGTCTGTCATTTTCGCTGACGGACCGACGCTCCCTTGAGATGTACGGTCCCGTCTCATAGATGGCAAAAAAAATCCCCAAAGGTTGACATTTAATTTACGCTACATTAAAATACATTATATAACACAATATAATGGGTTTTTCTTAGTACTTGTACAACTTCTGCTTTGGTAAATGTGTTCTGCTCTGTCTGGGTGCCAGCTGCAAAGACTGCTTATACCTCGAGCTGGTTTCCTGTCCAGGCTGGACGTACTGAGGTGTAACAGTTCAAACAAAAGCGTTCACACAGAAATAAGGACGTTGATAAAACCACGTCCACTTTAAGGAGGCTGGGATCGGTGTGCTCCTACCAGCATTGTCACTGCAAAATTTCAACAACACTTTGCATTCATTTGCTGCCTTTTTTTTCTTCCTCTTCCAATGAGGGAAGTTGCACACACAAACAAATAAAAAGAAGTAGGCTGCATTCCTTTTGAATATGTCAGCCTCAAAGCAGTGACATTGTTCTCCCAGAGAAGCAAAGCTTACATCAATAATTCAGGAATTGCTTGGCCTTTTTTTTTTGTAACTTTGAGATCTGTATTCTCATCAGATCTGGACACCGCCTTTGTGGTTTTGCTTTGAGGTCCACTTCTGCAGTTGTGATTTATTTATACATCTATGTATATATTGTGTTTTTATAGATGTGATTGACTAATGAGGCAACATATATTAGACAAATAATGTAAAAAAAAAAGTGAATAATATCATGACGATGAAGTAGAGGAAACAGGAGTTTACCCTTGATTGATACGTTCCTCATCTATAAAAGGAAGAAGAACATTTGGTCTCTTAAGAACCTTGTTCCATTCACGCTGCTGACAACAAACGATCAACATGTGGTCACTGTTGGGGTCAGCAGATTTTCCTCCTTTATTTTGTTACTTCAAGGAATGTCTTTTCAAAATAACTGTGTGTGTCCGCTCATTTCTCGTCAGTGGGGTCCTTTCAGTGAGTTTGCTGGTTTCCCCTGTGTGCATGCAGGTGTCCCTGCACTTTTTGTTTCTTCTCTGAAAGGTGCATGTGTGGCTCTCTGCCTTTGTACGCGTCTTGGTTCATGCATGTGTGTCACTGAAGTAGAGTAAGACGTGAAAAAAAATTGAAAACAGACGAGAGCATACGGTCAGGAATTTAAAAGTCAAAAAGGTCGTAGCACAAAAATATGACAGAGATTTAAACTTGTTGATGCATGGCAGTCCTGTCAGTTTGATTTCAAAGTCTATTTTTTTTTCCACTAACAAATGCACAATGATGGCAAGAAATGAAAAATAAAAATTGGCTTCCATATGTGGAGGCTTTTGAATTGAACACGGGTGAAAAAAGAGACTGCAAACAGGTTCATGTGTACTCATGACATCACCAGAAGTTGTGGAATTAAACTGATCAGCTGGCATCAGTCATCATAATGGCAGCAGAAGCACTTTTGAGAAATGTCAACATGGATTCTGAAACATCTGAAATGCATTTAAGTTGTGATGGAGTGCAAGGAGTTTACTCTTGATTGATACTATGATGGTTGATACTGTATCCATTGATAATATGATGGACTCAATAATCGGTGAAAATAGAAATAATTGTGTTAAGAAGTTAACTGGTACAGGTGTGTTCACATTCCTGTTCAGGTTGTTGCATCTGTTGAGTTTCTTTGCATATTTCGCTCCTTGTAAAATGAATTAACGATCATCTCGCCTTAGATGCATCTGCGATTTGCCTGTACAGTGTCACTGCTTGTAGCCTGCACACGTTTTACTGTAACTTACTCAAACACCTTCTCCTTTCGCAAGAGCTGAGCAAGACTTCTTGCCTCTGGTATTGACTGGAAAGAAAGCGGTAGATTAGGCAGTGACGCAGGTGTAAGCATGGTCGAGTGATCATTTTTGGCTTGGAGTTACAAAGTGATGCGGCAGCCCTGCAGGAAATATTGTTGGAACCGGAAGAGCAACGGAAAGGACCAACCAGTGTTTTGTTTTTTGTTTTCCTGACAGCTTGGCTCAGGCTGATTGTCGAAAACACACAGATAGGAATAAATGAAGAAAGAAAACAAACAGACAACACGCTAGAAGAACGGTGCTTGGTTCCCCCGTGCCTTGTGTGATGTCACTGGAGACATGTATTTGATGCAGGGCAGGTTTCCTCCTGAGCAAATTAATTTTCCAATAAAACAAAAGCATTTAAAATCTGATCATGACATGTGGTTCTACCAAAGACAAGCTACTTTTAAAATGAGTTTAAGATACGCCTTGCCAGTAGCTTTAAACCAGCGTCATGCCAGGGCAGATTGGTGATAACTGGGGAGGAACAACTGTGTTTTCGAGGCTTTCTGCCTGTCTAATGTCTGAGTTTGAGATTCTCCAGACCTCTCTCATGTTACCTTGTAAAAAGTTTGTGGCTGTAAGATTCATACCGCAGTCTGGCCATGGTCTCCATCAAGAACCAAACACTGATCGCCTGTAAACAGGGGGAAAGAGTGGAGGGCTTTTACTCCGTTTTTACAAGAGTCACCAAAGAGCTCTAAGAAGTATTTCAGAAATGTGTTCGGGAGAGATGAGAAACCTGGCACCAGCGTGCCTAAATGGTTTAAGCGCAGCATATCTTAGCGGTGGCACTTCAGCTGTCGGTGCTCAGCGTGTGCAGCAGGAGAATAAATATAGTGGGATGAATACAGTCATGAACACAATACCCTCCGCCATATGTGTGCCTCGCATTTCGCATATCCAGCTGTCAAATGGTGAAGGAGGATTGATCTGGACTAAAGAAAACGTGATTCTGTTCGTTCGGATCATC